TAAAAAAATTATTTCTCTCACAAATTGCAGAAATGATTGCAAGCTGAAATGCAGTTTTACGGTAGGAACTTACATTCTTGGTCCACCTCTTCACAACGTCAAAGCCACGTTTGCACAAAGTTTTGTAGAAGTACGTGGAGAAGACATAAGCCCGACCAGATTTTCTTTTATTTAAAAGGCCGAAATAGAAATTTATAATCTGCAGGGAGGTAACATATTTGTCTCACTTTGATTTTCCTTTGCAAATGCCATGCCATGGGTCCTCTCAAGTAAAAGTGACATAACCTTACCTGATCATTCAACCATCTTTTTTGAGCCAGCCTTTCCAGATCGCTCACCATGAGTGACAGTTTGATTTGGTCATGTCGAATTATTTCCATTTTTTTGGAAGAAGTTAAGAGTCCTGTGACATCGAAATATGTGTGACTTGTAATTACTTATATACATACAGCAAAAACCCATATTAATTAATGGAACAGACAGTCAGACAAACAAACAGAATGAAACCAGATATTTTGCATCAGCCAGCTAGATCGCTTTTTCATAGGAAAGGGGTAGGCTAAAAATGTAGATGTACACAACTCAACAGATGAAATAATGCCCAGAGTATTAATGAATGGTGAAACGGGAGGTTGCGCATCGTTCTGTTGCACTTCACTGCTGGTTGCTAGAGGTAATACACTACTTTCTGTAAGTTGCACCTCAACAATGGCAGAGGGGATTCGTGTGAGATTCTGGAGAACATCCTCAGGAATGTGAGGGACTGAGGAGGGAAAGGTAGGGTGCAAAATGCTTGCCACTGCTTGTCCCACTTCACCAACATAAATCCTCCTTGAGGCAATTAAATCCCAAAGGGCAGCAGCAGATTGCTCCATGTAGACTCCCCCCTGTGAAAATATTGGAGATGAACACATGTCCAGAAATAAGGAAAACAAACATTAGGTGAGTGACAAAGTTTACCTCAAAAACCGTAGCAGCATCTTGCATCCGTGAAAATGAGATTAATGTGTTATAATGAGGCTTTGTGCAATTTAATGATCTTCTAAAAATTGAATTCAACTGTCATTGTGTACACACATCAGGTGCATCAGTGGAAGCTGGGGAAGATGGGATAGAGTGGGACTGCACATCTGTCTCAGCACAATTTGAATTGTGAAACTTCACATCATCAGTTTCCACATAAATGTGGGGGATGAAACCAGGACCATTCTGGAAACACAAATGATATGCATAATACAACCTCGGGAATTGTGCTATTACAATTATTAATCACTGTGAAAAATATTTTCGTAGATTTACAAGATATTTATTGATTTCGATTCACAAATTATTTTGCAAATTTACAACTCCCCATTTTTGCTTGTCAATGAATTCCAAGTCGATATGAAGTACTTGTAACTTCACAATTACAAATTTTAAGTTTACAACACACATCATGGAAAACTTTCCTGTAGCCCTTCAAGTATTTCTCACGGGGATTCAATTCATGATTTATAGTTGACATACGCTATTGAAATCAGTGAGAGGTAGAAGGTGGAGCATCACTTCACCTTCAACAGGAACAAGAGGGAGGAAACCAGGACCATTCTGCAACAAATGCATAATACAATCTGGAACTGTGCTATTACAAAAGAATAATAATTTAATTTACAACGTAGTGTTGACATACAGTGGAAGCAGTGAGAGTAGGTGGATTGTCCATCTCATACTCCTCATCGGAATCTTGTAGACTGATGACCATTTTGAAGTGCTCATCCTCACTCAGGCTTCAGAGCCGGCAATTCTTCTTGAGTGAGGTGAAGTACATCTGTGTGGGAATGCTGACAACAATTTGCCCAAGCCCCAGGTGTTATCTTTTGAAAGCCCTCCACTAAAATAGTCCTCATCATTGTATCCGAAAAGTAATTTTTTCTGCCAATGTGGTCTCTCAGGTGGCGTTTCACAATGCCCCACACCATTTCAATGGGATTGAGATGGCAAAAATAGGGTGGCAACCAAAGAACCTCATACCCAGGCTGGCCCGGGTCGGGCCCGGGTTGGGACCATTTCTCACCTCTGCTCTCGCCGCCTAACCTACGCTCGGCTCGGCTTTGCTCGCTCCCGACTTGCCGCGAGTGTGGTCAGATGCTCTAGAACCAGAGTGAGCACCTCGTGGTGTTCACCCTGGCCTCGCATGTGGAGGCCCAGGCGGTAAAGGGATCGTAGCCATGCCTGCCTTGGCTGTCTGCACGGCGAGGAGGGAGGGGAGCAGCGCAGTCCCCCGACCCCGAGCCAGCCGGCAACAGGGCTCCGCTGCTTCGCACGCTGGTCGGCGCGATGCCCGTCGGGCAGCCACGGGGGTGAGGCGGGGAAGGGGAAGGGTCCTCGCGGGGGTTGGAGGGGGCAGCGCCTCTCGTAATTGTTCGCCTGAATCCTCCCCAGAACGATCGCGATGGACCTGCTCCGTGTGTACGACTCCGACACTTCAGATTCGACCAGCTCCTCGAGCAGCTCAAGCCCCCGTGTGGAACTAATCCGGATAAAGGTAGGGTAGATTTGGTGTTTTCTAAACACCAAATTGACACGAAATGTACACCAGAAATACACCAAAAATGTACCCCAAATATACACCATATCTACCTCAAACGCGTTTGGTGTAGATATGGTGTACTTTCGCTCTTTTTATGGTAGTAAAAGTGGCACTTTTAACATCAAAAATACACCATAATTACCCCATGCGCTGAGAGGCCGCTGTGCAGCGTTGCCAAATCGAACCCGCCGCACTATGACGTCACCAGGGAGGACCAATGCCCGCGAAATTCAGAAGAGCTACTGTGCCAGAGCCGGCCGCCCCAGCAGCGGCGCTCAGAGTGAGACTAAGCTTTATTTGGTTCAGTGGGTACGATAGGAAAGAAGTAATGCCTGCGTACTCTAATTCAAATTTATTCAGTGGCTCGGAGAGATAGTTGTTCCCAGAACACTCAATTTTAAACATTACACATTGTAGGTCGGAAACAGGGACCATATCACAAGAAATTGACAAATTTTCATCAATTAATGGCTCATATTGGAACAGATGAGAAACCGTAACGACACCAGTGACAAAAGGAAACAATGTGAGTGGTCTGATGACTGCCATATAGTTAGTTTCACAACTACAGGGCTTATCACAATTGCAATGCACTTTAACAAAACACATTGTATTACCATACTTGACAATTTGATTTTGCTTGTATTTTACAAAAGACGATACTCGCTCACCGCGCTTTTGGGCAGAAGAGACATAAAGTAGTCTGTTTTTTAAAAGTCGTGAAAATAACTGAACTTGAGCAATGGGAATACTCTGAGAGCGAAAAACATTACAAATCCAATTGTCTGTTGGACTAACAGAAGTAAACGCACCTACACAATAGATGCCAGGGGAAATTTCTTCAGTAACATTAAGCCTCTGTCTTTTTCTGATTAGACTTTCACAGTATAGTTTTGCTTCAGATGGCCTAAGCTTGTTCACAATTAAAGGAAGTCTGGTCAAAATAGAAAGCTTGGCATGAACTTGAAGATCCACATGCCTTGTTCCATGAATGAAATTAGTGAGCCTGCCATTTATATCCTCAAACTTAAAACAACTTTGTGCCCACAATGGAGATATCAGCCGAACACACCTTTCATAGTGGAGAATCATATGCACATTGTGAGTCATTTGGTTAATACCATACAAGGCAGCAATTTTTTTTACAAATTCAGTGAGTAATCTAGAAGCTTCTGAGAGGTCATTCTCACTTATACTAGATTTATTTAACAGACCTACTCCCTGCACAAATAATGAAAACTGATCATAATATTCAGGGGACAATACATCACGAAGGACAGGAAGGGCAATATTAAATAGGAAAGACCGAAACTCAGTTCCTTTCCAATGGACTAATTTATCAATGCCTTGGGGCAAACGCTGCAAAAAATGAGGTGGAGTTAGATTTTTAATTCTAAGGCAAACCAATTTAAGTTTCTGAAAAACAGAGAAAGGTTCACCTTTAAAGTCTTTATCAAACCAAAGCACAAGTAATTGGCGCATAGTGCCTAAATATGCGCAGTGTAAGGAATCAATTCCCATTGACCTGAAAATATCTGACACAATATCTGACAAAATTGTAGGTCCTTTAATTCCAAAACAGAGTTCATCATTTCTTTGATTTTTTGATACTATTACTCTTTTTTCTACAGCTACTTTTGTTTGATTTTTATACATTTGCATATTTCTGAGTGGTATCTCATCCTGAAAGGGAAATATGGTAGAGTCACCTGGTTTTTGTCCTCTGCAAAGGCAAACTGGACATGAATAGAATCCGGAATAGGTCTTCATATTCATAAAAGCGGCTGTAGCAGGAGCATCACAAACACCACACAATACTGTTGCTTTCACTTGCTTTTCTCCCTCATCAGGCACCTCAACACTGAAACCTTCCCTTATCTGTTTGATATTTTTGTAGATTGGTAGCAAATATAAATTTGGATGTGGCTTGTGTAACCCACCCCACAAACCAGCAATCAGTAAATTTTCACTTAAATATCTTTTGTCAGGGGGAAGTTCATTGATCACTAGATAAAATGGCCACAGACTATAAGAATTTGAATTGAAAATTTGAAGTCCATCTGTGTTCCACGTAAGAGAAATGTTGATGAACGATTGCAAACAGTCTCAAATTCCTTATAAAGCACAGAGTCATAAATATCTTCCATATTTTCCAAGTTTTCTTTTACACGAGTATTCTTATATTGCAATAGCTGCACAAATCCTGGCCTTTTAAACATTTTTTGAAGTTGAGGCACTAAAGAAAAAGAGATAAAATACAGTACAGCCCTACTTTCATCAGTACATTTCTCACAAAGATCTGTGGCAGATTTCCTAATTTTATAACAAGTACTGCAATAGTAGTGGATTTCAACAGGCTCATCAACATCTTCAATCACTTGAAATAATTTAGCAGGAGTCCTGATAAAATTGTTTGGTTGGGGCAAATGTAAGTTAATCAAAGACAGAAGTCTTCCCAAACCAACCCCACTGATATGTTCACACTGAACAAAAGAAAGAACAGAAGCCAAACTTTCTCCAACAGAAATAGAAGCTCCAGTATAAAGAGGTAATTCCTTCTTAATATGAGTGCTGGTTGCTCCTCTTCACTTGCTTCATAATTGAACTCGGGTGCGTCAGTAATAAAGTCATGCAAATTTGTTGTAGTTTCGGCACTGTCATCATCTTTGTTGTACTCCCCAAAATAATCTGACAAAACAAATTTATAATTAATATCTAGCAGGGCACCAGAAAATAATCAGCATGAACAGGAGACAAACAAACCTTCTCCAAACAAGTGTTCATCAGGAGTCAAGGCTGTGCTGATGGGCGGCATAACCTCAGAGTCTGGTAAATCAATGGTAGGCAGATTAGGTAGATCCCCCACGTCTATTGAAAAGCAAAAACAAGAAAAACAATTCAGCTTAAGACTCCAGCACTTTTTAAAATAATTTTGTTATTTCTGTGAGTTTGAACTTACAGCTTTCTTCCATGACATCAGACGGCACTGACTGAGTGGTTTTGAGCCCTCGAGTCATTTTGAACATTTTCGGCTCAGTTTCATGTTGTTTAGCAGTGCTGCATGATGGTATGTTTGAGATGTAATCCACAGCAGGTAATTCAACATCAGCCAATTCCAATACATTTTCAATGAAAGAGCTGCATGCTGGGATGGTTGAATCAGATGGACAACGCTGTGGTGGAATTTCACGAATATCTGCAAGAAACAAACGCACTCATTACATTTTGAAGATTAAACGTGGAAAAATACAATCGTAAAGCTGTCACATAACTGTAGCTTCAAGAGAACGCTTTAGGGCTCCTTTGACGTGACGTGCGTGAGGTGCACGAATGCCACTGCACTGATATATAAAGTGTGCAACTGACACACACTTCAAGGTGTTTAACACCGTGTAGCACACTTCTGTGTGTGCAACACGAGTTTGAATAGTTGGAAGTGTTCAACAGGTGTGTTGCACACTTTTAAATGTTCAACCTGACCGACGAGCACTATAGCTCAACGCTCAAGTTAAACACTAAAAAGTGTGCAACACGCCTGTTGAACACTTCCAACTATTCAAAACTGGTGTTGCACACCTAGAAGTGTGCCACACGGTGTTAAACACCTTGAAGTGTGTGTCAGTTGCACACTTTATATATCAGTGTGAAAGTCAGATCAGACGAACACTCCATTGTCGACTCTTCAGAATCCATTCCGAATGTGAGGTCACTACAAACAAGCTGGGCCCGCTCTTCCGCCAAACCAAGTTGCCAGCTCCGCTTCGCTCCACCGGCAACTCGGTTCGGCAGGAAGCGGGCCCAGCTTGGCCTGCCGGCGGCGTTTGGGACGGGCCTTCGGCCCGTCCCTTCTGAATTTGTATGGTGTAATACATCTTCTATCCGAAAACGGGCCTTCGGCCCGTTGGAGGAACGGCTCGCTTCGAACCATCTTTTTGCCAGGTACCTTTTCTGTCTACTTCGTAAGTAAAACTCAACAAACGAAGTATTCTTTTCATACGCTGAACATCTTTGGCTGTGTGTGCCGCAGTTTGTAGAATACATGCAAGTTATGCCGAAATTTTAAGTTATTGATGTTAGCTTATGAATCCAATAACACACCTATGAAAATGTACATAATACTAGACCTAGAAGTTAAATATACTTCCAGGCATACTCTGAATGACACCGAACGTGTTCAAACAACAAAAAACTAAATGTGGTTTTTTTGTGGTTTTTTGGCATGAAAGTGTACACGTTTTATTAATGATGTGCCACCATAAAATAAGCCCACTCTTCTGCTTAGAAGAAAATTTTGAACCGGCCGCATACTTCTCAGACAGAAGTGTACTTCTGAAAAAATAAAAATATTTCTGTTTTGACCATTTTGGTGAGAGAAACTCCATCTATCGCCTAAACGGTGAGAGATAGAGCCAAACGGATGAAATTTTAGTCCATAAGGCTCTACTTTCCCAAGTTACCCCTTAGGAAGCCATCAAATATTTTCTAAGCTTAATATATTGTTTTTGGGCCATTTTGGTGAGAGAAACTCCCTCTAGCGCCTAAACGGTGAGAGATAGAGCCAAACGGATGAAATTTTCGCCCAAAGGGCTCTACTTTCACGAGTTACCCCTTAGGAGACAATAAAAAAAATATTTTTTTTCCACTTCTTGGACCAACCCCTATTTCTTTGTTACCCCCTCAGACCCACTCAGGGGTGGTTGCCAGGATTTGCACCATCGTTTCGTTGTCCAGAAGTGACAACAATAATACCCTGAAAATTTCAGACCTCTAGCTCACGTCCTTCTTGGGGAACGGACAGACGGACAGACAGACAGACACAGAGGCGATGGCATAAGCCCGCTTATATAGCTTTTAAGCAAAAGAGCGGGCTAAAAAGAAAGTTTTTTAACACCTCAGGCACCAAGGGAATGATTAAAGAATATGCACTACTCACAAATTGAAGAGTGAATTGTTTACTTTAATTCACCGGCTTTTCTTGCAGGTTAAGTGTACTCATACCTTGTGTCCATACGAAGTTCGTCGTCATCTCCGTCATCTCTTAGCATAGCGGAAATGCGAAAACGATCCCTCCGACTTAAATCTTGTTGCTCTTCCTCTTCCATAGTGTATTATTGTTGATCATAAATATAAAGGATGGATTTCCAGTCAGCCGAAAACAATCACAACACCGCTACCGCAACACCGCTACCACCACAACACCCCCTCCCTCCACCCCCATCGCCCAACAATCCCTTTGAACCGGACCGCAGCGGAGGCTCCGACCGGGCTCAGACTGGTGCCAACGTGCAAATGGAAACAAAAACATAATTTTTATCTTTACGTGTATATGCTGAAAAACTATGACAATTGGAAGACAAAATTATATAATTTTAATCTATTTGCGTCAATTTTTGGCTCCTTGGAATTTTATCGCAACTTAAAATGAGCGCAATTTATTTTCGCATGTTTCTGTGACGCTGCCTTTCTGTCCGCCATAATCACTTTTTGATCACAGCTGTGTTTTGACGTTTTGACAGATTGGGCACTTGGGATTTTCCGATACAGGTTTTCGAGTTAGTTTACGATTATTCCGACAAAGGTAGCGGTGGCAAAATGAAAAGAAAGGCATTCTATTTGGTGTTCTCCACCGATCCACCTGCCATACCTGCCATCGATGTTGTGCGGCAAGATGGTATTGTCCGACCGGCGCTGGCTAACCTCACCATAAATGGGATGTGTACGTTCCTTTGGGAAAAGGAAAAGGATGAAGAAATGGTAGAAATAGAAGGGAAAGTTTTACGCAAAGGTAAGGAAACTGTTCTTGTCATCAAAATATTTTTTCAAAAAGATGGGACGCATACTTGTTCCTTTTCGGTTCCGGGGCTCTTTTAAGTTTTAAGGGACTACTCCATGTTTTTCTGTAGGTTAATCTGACACATTGCGTGCGGCATGACCATCATGTGGTCATGCTCCCAGGTTGAACATCCTACTCAATGTGTCACAGAATTTTAGAAAACATTTCCTTTTCCTCATTTGGACAATGCCCCCCCC